TGGTAGTTGTTCAAGAAGTTTTCCTAGTATGTTAGCCTTTTATCTCGAGAGTGTAAGATAACTTTCATGTTTACGTGAATTTTATGCAAGTTAATTACGAGATAAAACAAACATTGTCCAGAAAAATGAAGCTTTCAATAACCTATAGTGATAACCCTTGAACTTGTGGGAAATACACCGAACACATTTTGTAACAATAATTTTTAATGTACTTCCAGCGCCACATCGTTTCAAATGTTGCTTCTGATAAATAATGATAAAGGTAATTTTGTTCACAAGAAGTTGCTCAAAAATAGGGTTAACAGTTGTATCATTCTTTTGCACAGTATGCAGTGTGTATAATATTTGTTAAAGAGCGACTTGGATATCAGTACAGACAAAGCTGTAATAAATCAAACAAACTTCAAAAAAAAGTATCCACATTTTCCTTTCTTTATATAGCTAACTCGAACGTCCCATTTTTCACTTTTTAGCGGTGACACAAGTTCGCTCTGTGGAAGAACTTTGGCTTTAGGAACTGATGACCCAGGTCTAAATTTGTGTGATGCCACAAAATGAACCCCCCACCCATTAAACTGTAGGCGTGTTAAGATTTACATTCAACCGTCGTGGATGATAAGCGATACGTTTTTGACTTCCCTTTGGTCAGTAGTTTAAAATTAGAACCAGTAACAGATTAGTTAGAGCGGTTTTGCAAAAAGATACAAACAAGCCTTTAGTGTTTGATAACTAACCGCAAAGCAACTGTAGGTTTATCAACTAGTTGCAGTTCATTTTACATAAATTGTTGCGTAGAAATACAAAAAAGTAAAAGCTTCCATTAATTTGGGGGAATACAATTAAATGGAATTTCATTCATCAGATGGTTCGCCGAAGTGAAATTTAGTGGGATACAACGTATTTTTTTTTTTAAACTGGACAGTTTCACCATCGCTAATAACACTATCTAACGTCAGGGGTAAAAACCCTAGAAAAGAATATTCTAACACGGCACTGCCGCCGTTACGACGGCATGAAAGTAAAATATGGGCAATTGTGACCATAGTGTCAAAAAGGTCACACATTGGTAGAAGAGTTCCACATAAAATAAAACTACGAGTAATGAAACTGGCTAATGATTTGTAGTGCTGGCTAGACCAATGTCAGGAAATTGGTTATCTATTCGGGGGAATATCCAAGGGGTTATTCCTAAACATTTCTACTCTGATATGTTCAAGATTTACGGTTGTATACATGTTACTTCCTCTCAAGAGGGTCCCTGGTGGCTTAGTCGCAATGTGAAGATTTGTAACGCTACACATTTGGATTTCATATTTTTTGTGCACAGTTGGACTTCATACTTTGTCTAACTGCGTTTAACAACACTTAGCTACTTTATGGGAAGAACATCATTCTGTGCTCACCTGGATTTGGTACAAATATGTTCTACTTAACCATCTCCTCCCCACCCTCAAACCAACGAACTGAATGATAAAATCAGTTAAATAAGACTTAATTTGTTTCTAAAGTATAGAAACACCTACGTGTCACTCACTAATGTATTTTGTAATTAAGATAAGTTTGCTATTATAGAAGAAAGCTTCTAAAATCTAGAACTAAACAAACACTAGTTACCAGTAGGTGCTGTACTATATTTCTACTGGACTAATTTATAGATAAGAGCGCTAGCGAATGTTAAAATGTTTTAAAGTAGTCGATAAGAAAGTTATATTTAAAAATGTCTATTCTTTGAATGGAGTTCCTTTCTTAAAAATCTCACTTTAAGATAAAAGAGTTTCCTAAAAACAGTATTACATGCCAAGACATCTGTATGTAGGTGGCCTCAAGTCGTCACGCCACTGGCCTTGGATACAGCATCCAAGTTTGACTCTACTCATGTATTAAGTTAAAAGCTTGCGAACATTATAAAAAAAACAAAAAACAACAAATGAATGAACTATGTATATCAGTTCTCCAAATTATTATTATTTAAAATATCAAGTACGTCAATCAAAATTCAATGAAGCCTAGAGTTTCGACACTTGTTTTAGAATAATCCTTGCTGGAAAAGTTTATGAACTTCTATATAATCCCTATTCGGAGAAACTGCTAAATTATCATCATCAACCGTTTAAAGAATAATGGACTAAGTGTGGCCCACGGATTAGACTGCCCAGACTAGAAATACGAAGGTATAGGGTTCGCGTCCCGTTGACGACCCCAAAATGCGCTTCGCACTTTGGGGGACGCGAGTATGATGCAAGAGTGAGGGTCAAATCTGACTGTTAGGTTAGACGAGTGTTTGTTGCCCTTCGTCTAGTCTAGCAGTTCAAAGTATCAGTTGAAAGGCAATACTGTTAAAGAAGTTATTAGTTTTGGTTGTGCAATCATGTTTAGGTTTTTATTTTTAGAAACAAGTTGTTCCTGCCTTTAAGTTTTAAAGACTAGACAGTTCTATAGAAGACGTGTACTTGTTCAGTTTAAACATTAGACAAGAATGTAGACGTAAAAGTGAATTCAAACGAGGAAGACGTTTAAAATATTAGCTTGTTTTACTAGCATACGTTGCAAGATATCGTACTAAGGCGCATGGATTGTATAGTTTAAGTGTACAACTACGCAGACACTCGTCCCTGACCTACTTTTTTTTGGGACTGCTGGGTAGCCTGGAGGCACCGACAAACATCCATAGCGAGTTTTTATCAGTACCTGAAAAAAGTTAAAACGAACAAATTTAAGTTTCGTCAGCAATAATATTAATT